GAACTTCAGGACATGTTGAGGAGATAATTTAGCCATTTAAATCAGCTGGACACATCTAAAACCTGCAGGACACCGGCTCTCGAGGCCTGGATCTAGATCTAATTAAGTCGTCTCCAATTAATCTTTGGATAGGCTCGTTTTCGACAGCGCCGACTGCACGTAAATGCAGCATGAGTGGATATTCCGCGAATCTTTCTGAGTTTAAGCAGAATGCCGCAAACACCAAAAGCTTTAATCCGCTAAAGAGCAAGAACACGGGTGTCACTGACACCGTGACAGTGACTTCCCCCTGCTCCAAACGATCCACATCACACTTATTCAGTATCCTAATCATCGCGCTTCACTTCTCCACGATCCTCCATCCACGACACACGGGATTTTACTCGCTCTTGTAAAAACACACTTCAGTACATGTCAAACGCAAACCCTGCGCCATCGGGTGAAAGCTACTTTGATTCGGCGCACTTCAGTGTGAGTGCTTTAAGAAGGTGTTTGAAATAAACCCGCTTTCGGGACGACTCTCTATCAGCCTGCTTCCTCCCTAACGGAGGAGGGATGGAGGCGATGTACCTGTGAAGACGGTGACAAGCGCTGAAGCTCTGGATTCTGCTTATGTATCCGATGCGCTCCGCTGTGCTACTGTGCGCAGATGACCCTGCCATGATGTCACCGCACAAACACAAAGGGGACGGCTTATATCAGCTGATAAACCGGAAGGAGAATGTATAAAACCGTGACTCAAGCTGTAAGGTCATTGGCGCAAATCAGGGGCGTTATTATAAGTCACATGATCTGCATAAGCAACAAAAGCCCTCAGGTGAAATTTGGAAGACCATTAATACATAAATACTCATCAATATAACACATTTTAATGCTGTAGATGCACATAAATAGACTACACCTGAGGGTCTTGTCAGCAGGTACTGCATTTTTATCCATAGTCTTCTTATCCTGTTTACACATTGTGATTGATTTACAAAAGTCAATACACGTGAGTCACTGGAAACAAAAAAGAGTGGTGCTGATCTATGGGTGCATCCTTTCGGATACGTAAATATTATTAATAGAGCAGCAGCTGCAATAAGTTATTATATTATCAACAGTTATTTGAATAAAAAAGGTGCAATGGACATCATGAAAACATGAAACCTAATGTTATATAACACTTTACAACACAAACAAGACTCTTTCCCCCACAATTAGTTGCTGGTATCCAGTCATCCTGCCAATAGCAGTATAGCACTGTCAGCAAAGTCAATAAAGCCACAAGCTTAAACACAAATAAACCCTATTTCACGGAATCATCCCCCATGTTGATGTCTGGTGCCAGCAATGACTAATAGGCAGTGTTGGGAAGGTTACTTTTAAAATGTAATCCATTACAGATTACAGAATACATGCCCCGAAATGTATTTTGTAACGTATTCCGTTACGTTACTCAATGAGAGTAACGTATTCTGAATACTTTGGATTACTTAAT